AATCTCGTACCAATTAAATATTCTTGAAACTTTTTTACCGCGTATAAAACAGATAAAGCTTCTCTTTCAATATTTGTATAATTAAACTCTGATTTTAATAATACTCTTGACACGAAAGCAATGAGTTTCTCTTTACCATCACCCTCAATATTAAATAAGACTGCGCCTAGACCTTTCTTTGAAGCATCAGTTGCAATGCCTATTGGTAGATCTGGGTTATAAAAATTTAACATAGGCGGCGTACTTATCAGTTTTTTAGGTCAACAAAGCTTTCTTGATGTGTACTATCCCATAACCATTTGTCTTTATTAACTATTCTGTATAAGGGATCAGCTATGTCCGCAAAATTACATAAAAATTTTCGATAATATCTCGCCATCCCCAAAATGTTGCCAATTTATCTTTTGTTTTCGGTTCCGGCATGTTAGAAATAGCTTTAATCAAATCTGCATACGGATGTATACCTCTGTCGTCTATATCGTGCCCCAAGAACCGTAGTTTTTTAAAAAAAATATATACTTTTTGTAAAGTTTGGTGTAAGCCCATATTTTGATATCCTATCAAACACCATTTTTATGTTATTCAAATGAGCTTAATCGTCGTACCCAGTAATCAGTAGATCATCGATATAAAATATCACATCTTTCATGTCTTTGAATATGTTGTCCATAGTTTGTTAGAATATTGCTGACGAAGTCTTTAACCCAAACGGAAGTCTCGTAAACCTGTAATAGCCCTTGTGTGTTGATATTGTGAGAAAATCTCTAGATTCCTTGTGTATAGGTACTTGAAGAAATGCGTTTTGAAAATCAATCTTGGTAAATTTTTTACCTTTAGATAATTTTGCAATTAAATCATTGATGCGTGGTATTGGGTACTTAAAATCTTTTAAAGCAGGGTTAATAGTATTTATGAAGTCAGAACAAAGCCGAAGTGAGCCATCGCTCTTAAAAAGGTCTTTCCTAAAAGATGGTACTAACTTTACTAGTAACTTATTCAAGAAATTTTGCGAAGACATGGAATTGAACACATTTTCCCCGCGCCTTACCACCAACAGTCTAATGGTCAGTGTGAGCGAATGATAAGATCAATGAAAATAAGTATGAAAAGGAATATGGAAAGTAATAATAAATTAGACTTAGATATAGCTTTAGAAAAGTTCTTATTTAATTATCGTAACACACCAAACGCAACAATCAACAAGATACCAAGCGAAGTGATGTTTAACAGAACTATAAGAACCAGATGAGATTTAATTAAACCGCAAGAAGATAAAGTGAATGAATTTAATCGTAATATATAGTCAAATAGAAATATCATGAATGGTGTGACATAGTTTGGTAAAAAACTTTCAAGGACAATATTTGGGACAAGGGCACGATAAAACGCAAAAATGGGAATTTATTATATGAAGTAAATACTGGAACAGAATTATTAAAAGACATTTAGACCAAATTAAAAAAAGGAAAGGTCAACGAGTATCATACCTCTTAATAATGAAACGACACATTTGAAAACAAATACTAATAATACAATACCTTTTACTCTAAGTTTTAGAAGAAGTGATGATCAAAGTATAGGAATACAAGAACAGAGTCTTAATAAGCAAAGACAAGCAGAAATATAATATTGCCCAAAAAATTCGATAATTTTATAATGAATATAAAAAAAAAGACTAAAAAAATAAATATATATATATATATAATAAATAATAAAATATTTTTCTTTTAAATAAACTTTCAATAGCTAAAGCTAATGAAATACCATCAAGTTCAACAAAGGACAAACGGACAATACATGATGAAGAAACCGGTAATAAAGACAAACGATAAGATGTTAAACAGAGGGCAAAAACTTTAAAAAAAGAATTACCATTGAACCAAACATTCCAAACATCACTTCACCATCGATTACTTTTTATAAAAAATGTCATCGACTAAGATAATGACCGTCTAGCTGACGTTTAGAGGCCGAATAGAAATAAGCCTACGCGATATCAAGTTTATATCATAAACTTATAAGATTCACATACAAGAAAAACCTGGGTGGAGTTCATTTCTTAAAGGGTGGAATGTTGAGATGACCTGATTAATTTTTTTATATATATCTTTTTCGTTATTAACTTAATACTAACCTTGCGGACTCATTTTGTAATATAAACTCAATAGCTTGATTTAAATTGATTTTTCGTTTATATAAATTATTAAATTGATTTTTCGTTTATGTAAATTATTAAATTGATTTTTCGTTTATATAAATTGATTTTTACAAGCTATATAACCATGAAAATATATTACATTAGTAAAAAAAATAATTTTTAAATAAAATAAAATTTTAAAATTTCTTATATGATTGTAATTTGAATTGATGAATAAAATCTCCTAAATTTGTTATACCTATTTTACCAGTAAACATTATGGACAATTGCATATTAAATTTAGAAAACTTTATTACTTAAAGTATTTAATTATTAACAAAGCTGAACATTGTTTATATGTGGCTTTTATTTTTATGAGATATATCGAATTTAAAGATACATATAATTGGTATTGAAAACCCATAAGCAGGGTATTTTCCAGAGTTGTTAAAGGTATCTAGATCCTGTATCTAGATATATAAATGTGGTCTCTGTATCTAGATAGATTTTTGATTAAAATATCTGTATCTAGATATTATAGATGATATATCTGTATCTAGATCCATTTAAAAAGTATCTTTTAACAACTCTGGTATTTTCAAATGTTTACTGATATTTTCCTCGAAAATATAGGTCCATCCTCTTTTCAATCTTTTAGGATTTTTGGCATTAGGATATATTTGATTCCATTCATCACCTCTCATGGAAATCTCAAATATATCCTTTTTTATTTTGCCACTTTCTTCAACGTAATCACTTGACTCGACATATTCTCAGATAATCTTTCCTAGGATAATGTAAAAATATATTTAAAAATCATATTAAAATAGTAAATATTTCATATATTAATGTTTTTGTGTTCCTATATTAAAATAAAGTCGTGGTATATTACATAAAAAATAAATAATGTAAAATATATGTAGTAATTACACTTATACATCGGGCAGAGCCCCCGCTATAAATTTTTTAAGCACCAGACTTGGCAAATACAAATATTTCTGTGGTGTACCTTTTATTGTCAAAATATAATATAAATATTTTTTTTGTTAGTGAAGACTTTTTACTCTAAATATCTTTTCCGTATAAAAATTTTTATTTTTATTTTTGTTAGTTTATTACTATTAGTGATCTGCATTGGGTAATTATAGCCCCCCCCCCCCAACCAGGGTATGCGGAAAATAATTTCCTGAAAAGGGAAAAATTCCCTTAGAAAATTTTTCTTCGGAAATAAATTACCCATTTTTTAATTAAATTAAATACAGTGAGAAATAAATCCATGGGAAAAAAACCGGAAACAAATTTCCCAAAATTATTTTATTTTAAATTATCAAAAATAGCCCTCCGTGAAATAACGAAAATATTTCTAAAATTATATTCAGTATTTTCAATACTCAACGTTTGAAGATTTTTTTGAGGTATCCAATTCGTTTATTCTAATATAATTATTTTAAAAATCGGTTAGGTTTAATATTAATCACAAGTTATTATTTATATTTAACAATTTATTTTGGGAAATTTTTATTTGGAAAAATTTTACAGGTTTTTTTTTTTATTTTGTTAATTTTCTAAAAAATTTTGAATATTTTATGAGATCTAAAAAATGGGGAATTTTTTTCCGGGGAATTATTATTCTAGATTTGCCAACCAGGCCCGTTTTTAAAAATTATGCGGACCAAGACGATTCATAACGATTTTCCCATTCAAAATATATATTATTTATAAACCCCACCTGACCCTAATTAATTTTAAATAATAGGTCTCTACTTTGAATAAATAAATATTCTTTTAATTGACCCTTTCTTTTTCTTGCAAAAAAAAATATTATTTCACAAAATTGAATCATAGGGGAGAGCAGGCCTAGTCGTCATAGGGGCATATCAGTTCCGGATTATATTTAAAAACCAGACATGTTTACAAATTTAAATTTAATTAAAGAATAGCATTGTATAATATGTTTATATGAGGCTAAAAATATTTTTATACATCTCAGTATTTAAATTTTTTTATGATAAATGTGTTTTTTAGTTAAAAATCAAAATAATATAATGAATATAACTATAAATATGGAAATCTAAATATAATAATTTAATTTGTTAATATTATATGTAAAAACCAATGACATATTATATGTCATTGGTAAAAACCAAGATTTTTGCCTAAAATCATATTATCATTAAAAAAATTACATTTTTCGCCTCAAATTATACAATGCTATTATATAATTAAATTTGAATTTCTAAACATGTATGGTTATTAAATAAAATCTGCTGAACAGACATGCCATTTACGCCGACCAGCCCTGATCTCTATATATCATGTTTTAATATATTTTTAGAAGGTATTAATTATATTAGTAACTAGGGACTAGTAGAATCAGGGATAGTCGGATCAATTATATTATCCTTAGAAATATGATTTATTATAATAATATAAAAAAGTATTTATTACCATATATTTATATCTTCTATATGATAATGCAATAATTAATGATGATTTTGAAAAAAATTACGCTTTATCTCCCTTACTTCATGTCAAAATATTGTTGCGGCAAAAATTTATTAGTCCCGACCATATTTATTTTTTAAAAAATGAGCCCGCTAACCGGCTAGATACCCGGTCTACTTTAGCAATTATCTATTTACTATCTTTGTTACTAAGATTTACGGTGTTATTCTTTACGTAACAAGAAATTACTCTATTTTTTTAAATTTACATAAATAAGACAAATTGTTAAATATATTTTGATTTATAAGCCAAAATGAAAGGTTTCATTAATTTAATGAAAATTAGGGCATATTCATTAAATACAGAGCAGTTAAAATCATTACATAAATTAAAATAAAATAAGTGACACAAAATTCACCTTATTTAACTTTCACCAGAAGATATAAAGAATGATATATTAACTTCTTTAAGTATTTCCTAAATATCTAAATGTTTCTGTTTTGAGATGCGTAATTGTAGAGTAGTTTTGGGCTCATCAGAGCTAATAACTATTTACTTGGATTTTTCCATATTTGGGCGGATGATCTATTAATATTTATTTCTATTTCTAATTTATTCTTAGAAAAAAGAGATTTCAAAATTGGAAGGAGCACCGCTGGCTGTCTCCCCGGCGTCCCCATAACCTTGATGATATATTGTTAAATATAAATATAGAATAATATATCGTTATTTGTTAAAATATACTATAACGACACTTTGTATCGAAAACTGGGCCTCGGACTTCCAAAAGATATTATTAAAAATATTAAAATTCAAAAAGACTTCTATTTAATCATCCTTATTTTATACTAATAAATTTATAATAAATTGCAACTGTGAATTGTCGCCGTGCTGAATTGGCGCTGCGCCGAATTGATGCCTGGAATTTTCCGCGCCAAATTGACATGATACCATAATTTATATTTGATTTAATTAAATTAGTGCAGAGCTGGGTCAAAAAATGGTATTTTATAAATCCGGGCCAAAATAAAATAAATCTATGCTGGCCATTATCATAACTTATCTTATAAAAATGAAAAATTTTACGGGAATCTACATATATGAATTTTTACTTTATATTTTAATAAATGATAAAATTGGGGTCAATTTAAATCATATATAAAGAATCTAGGACAATAATTCCCCGGGAAAAACACCTGGAAATTTATCCCCAGAAATAAAATCCCCAGAAAAAAATTCCCCGTAAGATTACTCCCTGGAAAAAAAATTCCCCGTTTTTTATATTTTATAAAATATTAAATTCCCAAATTTTTTTTAAAAAGTTTTGCCGAACCGGTCTGAATTTATTTAAATATAGAAATTAATTTTTATAATTACTCAAAATAAAAGATATATGCTATATAAGTCTGTTGCATTATTCTAATTTTATTATTTATTACAATATAAATTTTATTTTGTTATAATCTAATTTTATTTTATAAACGGCGTAACCTTACTTTTTTAATATTATTTTACTTTTTTGTATTTCGTTTTATATTCTAATTTATATTTTAGAAAATGTATATATACCTTAAGAAAAGTAAAAGAAATTAGTTAATAAAATATATTTTTACTGACTCGCACCTCGCGCCATATCGTTAGTCTCCTTATTCTTTGCATGATGCCCCGGGTCTGGGTGGTGGACTAGAAAAAGAAGACTACCTAATCTTCTGAGATGACTATCTAGCCTATGGAGACTGCTTAACCTATGGAGATGACTACCTATTATGACTCTACCTTCTGCTTAACCTATGGAGATGACCACCTATTATGACTACCTTATCTATTGTGACTACCTAATCTACTGAGATGACTATCTAACCTATGGAGACTGCTTAACCTATGGAGATGACCAAGAATCAAACCTTAGCACGTTCTTTCATGCAAAAAGCTTCTTTCTTCATGGTGTCCCGGCTCTGGATGTTGGACTGGAGTATGATAACCAGCACCTAACCTAATGTGACAACCTAGGAAGAACTGATATGGAAGTTGAACGATAGGTTATGAATTCTATTTTGTGAGACCAATGATGATTACTTATTATTCTAATCCACGTAAGAAGAAAAGTTTAAAATCACTAAAATGTAAAATCATAATGGATATATTTGAACACACAAAAAGCCTTTAAAAAATTATTTACTTAAATTCTTAGTGAAATATTGATATTTTTTGATTTCTTGAATGATGACGAATTGTTGTAAATTAACTAAACCTAAAGTAGAATTCTTAGATATAATTAAAAATAAACCATTAAAAATTCTAAACAAGAAGATAAAACTTTAATTTTAAATATGTTAAAATGTAATTAAAACATATGAATTAAAAGGTTTAAATCACCTGATTGATTCAAATAACCCTTATAAGTAATACTTAATATGATAAAAAGTTGAAATTAAAAGAAGACAAAAAGTTATGTAAAAACTTAACATTCATTTTAGAAAAATATATTTAAATTATGTGGTGATGAGATCATTTTCTAAACTATCTGATGAAGAATTTTTTTTGAATTAAAATTAGGGTGTGAAATTAAAATTTTATTTAAAGAGAAGGAAATGTGAATAATATTTTATTTGCATATTTTAACCTCGGAGATTGAAAATAAATAAAAATAAATTAAATACTAAAATGCAAAAATTAATTAACGCGAAAAAAAAAATAAAAGTAATTAAAACGCGAAAAATTAAACGCTTATAAAATATGAAACGCTAAAAAATGTAAAACGCAAAAAATATAAAACGCTTATATTAAAACGCTAAAAATATAACAATCTTATTGATTTATCATTCTTCATTTATTCTTATGATGAACTATTATTTCTTATTCGCAACTTATTTATGATAATAACAATTTCGGAAAACAATTGAGTACTATCAAACAAGCTATGATTAATGGAGACAATTTACGATATGGATATCAAGCTTGTGATTAAACAAACCAACGTGCAAAATCGAATTGATCAAACCAACGATTGGGACAAGCCAACGTTAGGATGATTTGTGATACAACTTGATTACCAAAACGATAAACCACTTGGACAACAAACTCTCTATGAAATTATCAGAAGAAGGAGAATGTTGCATTATTCTAATTTTATTATTTATTACAATATAAATTTTATTTTGTTATAATCTAATTTTATTTTATAAACGGCGTAACCTTACTTTTTTAATATTATTTTACATTTCGTTTTATATTCTAATTTATATTTTAGAAAATGTATATATACCTTAAGAAAAGTAAAAGAAATTAGTTAATAAAATATATTTTTACTGACTCGCACCTCGCGCTATATCGTTAAGATCCTTATTCTTTTCAAAGTCTAATCAAATTTTAAATAAAAAATTCAACATAAAATTGATACATTTACAAATATTTAAAAAAAATTCCAAAACCCGACCCGTACCGGCCAGATTTTTTAAAAAATATTAAGCCCGATCTAGCCCCAACGCCATTTATTTTTAAAATAATAGGCCAAAGTACTCTAGTCTAAATGTAAAATTTTTTTTTTTTGATATTTTGATTAGAGGCTTTAAGAGTATATTTTAATTAGGTAAGTTGAATTTAAGGAGAAATTTTGTAAAAATTAAAATAAAATTTTATTTAAAATACTTAAATACATTAATATTTTAGATGGATATTTTTTTATTATAATGCACTTGTTCTAAGCAAAACTATATAGACACAATAAGTAATAAGACCAACCATCATCATACCCTTAATCTTATAAAGGCTGTTTAAAGGAATATTAATGATTTATGAAAAATTGTTAGCTTAAAATTAATCTTTCTTAAAATCTATTTATTAAGATTTTTAAAACTTTATTCTGTATAATTAATTGTTCATGCTATATATTTCTATTCTTATACAATAATAAATAAATTAGATTGATGTTTCTCTCTGAGCCCAGTTTTCCCCTACTTATTAGAAATATATATATATATTGATATTTTAAAATTTTATTTACTTGTTAAATTAGGATGGCAAATTTTTTCTTAAAATATGAAAATAAAACTTTGTAATGTGTTAATGAAATCACAAAAAAAATTATAAAATAAATAATTGATTTATTAATTACAAGTGGGAAATTTTGTGGTTAATTTTTTTTTATAATTAAAAACAATAAGAAGTAAATTTTTGTTTTCCTTAAAATAAATTTTTTTTATAATTTTTATAAATTTCTTTTCCTAGAAATAAATTTTTTTATTAATTATCAAAATAAATTTAATACTGGACTGGAGAATTCACACGTGTGATAATAAATCAAAATTTATTAGGCTATTGTTACTTGCCACTATGGTTACATTTAAAAAATTTTAAAGAACGCATGTTGTTTTATATTTCAAAAATATTTTATTTATTTTTAAAAAATTATTTTTTATTTGTATAAAAAAATTTTTGATAATGTTTTTATTCATAAATCCTTAATTATTTTTAAAAAATTATTTAAAAATGAATGCAAATTAACAGATGCAAGATTATTTTCAAAATAATTTTTTTTTTTTTTCTCTTTAGCTTTCACCTTTTCTGGTGGTAAGCTCCTTCAACATCTCTCTCCACTTTATGTTATTCGTACAATCTCTTTTATCTATTTTATACTTCTTTATATTGGCTCTAACTTTATGGCCCCATTGAAGTTTTGGCCTTCCTCTTTTACGTTTGCCCATCACTTCCAATCTTTCAACTTTATTTCCTATGTAGTTCATAGGCCTTCTCATTGTGTGCCCATACCACCTAAGTCTGTTTACCATTAACTTAGTCTTAATGGGCACTACCTTTAAACTATTTAGTATTCTTGTACTGCGCACCTTATCCTTTCTTGTTACCCCAGCAATCATCCTCAGCATTCTCATCTCCATAGTTTGTAGACTTCTCTCGTCTGATTCTTTGGTTGGCCATGTTTCCGAACTATATAGAATAGTTGGTTGTACTATGGAACTGTAAATTTTTTCCTTTAATTTGTGTGGGATTCTTTTGTCAAATAGCACTCCAGATAAAGATCTCCACTTTAACCACCCTTGATTAATCTTACTCTTTATCTCCTTTTCTATTGTGCCGTTTGTTTGTATAGTGGAGCCCAAATATTTGCAGCTTTCAATTGCCGATATCTGCCATTCATTTATATCAATACTCTCTGTTTCATCTCCTCCTATCACCATATACTCCGTCTTTTCTCTATTTACTTTTAATCCGTGCGTTTCTAGGATATTTATCCAACTCACTAGTCTTTCTTTCATTTCATCCTTAGATTCGGCAAGTATCACAATATCAAAAGCAAATATCATATTCCACGGGACTGTTTGAGGTATAGACTGTGCTAATACATCTATTACTGTAATGAAGAGAAGTGGGCTGAGAGCCGACCCTTGATGAACTCCTTCGGCTATTGTGAAGCCTGCTGAAGTACCTGTTGTGCTACGGACCATTGTTGTATGTCCCATATACATATCCTCTATTATTCTTATATATTTTTCGGGAACTTTTTTGTGGCGTAGCGCCCACCAGATAAGTTTTCTTGGGATTCTATCGAAGGCCTTTTCTAGATCGAGAAAGACCATGTGTAGCTTTTTGTTCTTTTCCCTGTATTTTTCACTCATTTGCCTAATTGCATGGATAGCATCGGTTGTTGATCTTCCAGGCATAAAGCCAAACTGTGTCTCTCCTATTTCGATTATATCTCTTAATCTTTTTTCTATTATTTTTTCGTATAGTTTTAGACAGTGTGACATTAGTTTTATGCCCCTGTAATTTTGACAATTGTGTGGATCCCCTTTATTTTTGAAGATAGGAACTAGATAGCTCTGCCTCCATTTTTGGGGGACCTCTTCATTTCCAAGTATTTTATTGTACAGATTTGTGAGGAGATGTATTCCATCATCTCCTAGTGCTTTAAGGCTTTCTATTGGAATATCGTCTGGACCCCTAGCTTTGTTGTTTTTCATATGCTTGAGGCATGTGATTATTTCTTGTTCTGTTATAGGTTGTACAAGGTTTTGACAAGGGGAGTGTTCGTCGAGATGCAATATGTGGGAATTAAAGTTGAGAAGCTCCTGAAAATATTCTTTCCATCTATTCATTATTTCTTTTTCCTTTATTATCAATTTCCCATCTTTATTTTTGATTACTTTCGGAGCTCCGTATATATCCCTAGAGTTCTTTTCTCGCTGTTTGGCTAATCTGTATATTTTATTTTGCCCTTCTTTGGTATGTAGATCTTCGTACATGTCATCGTATGCCATAGATTTGGCCCTAGCCACCGCCTTTGTAGCTAATCTCTTGGATTTTTTGTATCTTGACTTGTCATCTGCATTTTTGGATTTGTACCATATTTTATAAAGGGCTTTTTTCTCCTGTATAGTGGTTTGTACCTTTTGATTCCACCACCATAGTTCTTTGTGTGATTTGTTGCCTCCGCTTGTCAAGCCTAGCGTCGATTTTGCAGTGTCTATTAATCTGGATGAAAGGTCTGTCCAGATTTTTTCACTGACTTGTGAGCAATTTATTGTTTCAATGTTTGCATTGATTGCAAAGGCATCTGTCATTGTTTTTAATTTGCCCCATTTGATGCATGGTTCCAGTTTTATCTTGTTTTGAGTGGATTTATTTGAGATTTGTAAATCCATGATTAGTAGCTTGTGTTGCGCGGCGATATCTTCTCCTGGGATGACTTTGCAGTCTATTACATCTTTTAATCTTCTGCGAGAGATTAGCATGTAATCTATCTGTGTTTTCCTAGTACCACTTTCATATGTTATTAAATGACTGTCTTTTTTCCTATAGTAGGTGTTGGTTAAGGCAAGGTCGAAGGCTTGCGCAAATTTCAGTACGTGCTCTCCTTCATCATTTCTTTCTCCGTATCCAAAACCACCATGATGCCTTTTGTAGCTATCTCTTGCTTTCCCCACATGCGCATTTAAGTCACCACCAATTATGACTAGGTCATCCTTAGGGATTTCCATTACAGCTTCATCAAGGAAAGCTCTAAAGTCATCTTTCTCTTCTTCCTTGCAACCCGTTTGAGGAGCATATACTGATAGGATGTGTAGTATTGATTGACCAATGCAGAGTTTTATCTTCATTAGTCTATCAGAGATCCTGTTGACTTCTACTACTGAAGAGGTTAGGTCTTGGCTGAGGATGATGCCGACACCGTTCCTATTGCAAACAAGTCCATTATAGTACAATTTATACCCATCTCCAATCATCAAAGTTTTCTGTCCTTTCCATTTCGTCTCTTGTATGCACGCTATATCAACTTTTCTCCTGTTCAACATTGATGCCAATTCTCTCGTCTTACCTTTAAGCGTCCCAATATTCAAACTTGCCAGTCTTGTCTTCTTTGCTTTGACCTTTACTTTATTTTTCACAGGATGGAGGTCTACACCCTGCGCGTCGCATGGAGGGAACGCCCTAGCTTTCATATTCATATTTTCATTTGTGTCCTTCATTTTGTTTATTGGACAGGTATCCTTAGCACCCGGCTGTCCAGGCCTGTCGGTGACCGGGGTGTCATCTCTAAGCTCCGAAATTCATCATACCATATGTCTTTACACATCAGTCATCGAAGAAAAACTTGAAAGTTTTTATGGTTCTTACCAGGATTGAACCCGCGTCCTTGTTCATGCTCGTGTTTCCAAGCCTACATTTCGGCGGTACATATAATAAAATTGGAACGATACAGAGAAGATTAGCATGGCCCCAGCGCAAGGATGACACGCAAAATCGTGAAGCGTTCCTAATTTTTTAATTATAAATTTTTAAATTAAAAAATCTAAATCTAAAAAAAAAAATTTTCAAAATAATATTGACAACTTTATTAAGGAGCTACCAATTGATCTGATGATGTTATGCTTTATAAGGGAAAGATGTGAAAAGGTTTGTAATTTATAATACCTGAAAACCAAACAAAGGATAAATATATTGGAAAATATTAATAGTTTACATTCATGTTCAAATTCCTTAGAATTTGTTAAAACTTTACAATTAACAAAAAAAAGCTTTAAACAAAGAAATTTCCATAATGTAGGATATCACAAACAAAATCTATAATTATCCGAGGAGAATCTACAACTACCCATAGAGGCTCTATTACAATTACATAAAACCTTGTCATCTCAGAAAATTTTCAAAATAATTATAATTTTATCTATTTTTAATATATTTTCATTATATTAATAAATTTAAATAGTGTAATCATTTAAAAAAATAAATGTTATGAAAAAAAAATATCCACTAATGAGTCTAAATTTATTATTGTAATTATAAAAGGAATTAGGATATATCCTTTTTGTCTAAGTTTTTAGTTGTTTCTTTAGGTAATTTATATGGAATTTTTGAGCTGATTTAATGTACAATAATGAAAATTAGATTTATAAATCATAAATTCTAGAAGGTTTAATTCTAAATAAAATATTTTGCAAAATTAAACTGATTAGTAAATATATTCATTAGAATTTATAGCTTAATAAAAATATTCGCCTATAAAGAGACTAAATTTATCCAGTTTATTGTAATGCATAAAGTATAAAAAGAATTAGCATATAATCTTTTTTAGTTGTTTTTTTGGATCATTTATATGGAATTCGCTGATCTTTATTTATAATGTGCAATGATAAAAATTAAATTTAAAAATTAATCAAAAATTCTAGAAAAGTCTAGTTCAAAATTAATTCTTACATTCTAAATAAAATATTTTGCAAAATTTAACTAATTAGTAAAAATTATAGTAATTAGAATTTATAGATTGATAAAAATATTTGCTTATGAAGAGTCTAGTATAAAAAAGAATTAGGATATAATCTATTAATCTAAGTTTTGAATTGTTTTTAGGTCGTCATATGGAAATCTTCTGCAGTTGCTATCTTTATTATTAGTGTTACTAAATTAAATATATATGATGAAAATTTATCATAAATTTTTGAAGGGTCTTCTATTAAAGCAGGGTCTAATACCATATTGATCCTAAAAAAGGAAAATCTAATAAGTAAAAAAAATATTTATCAAAGATATATATTTATTTAAGATTGATTTCCACCATTGGTATAAAAAAAAGAGTATTAATAATTTATGAAAAAAACATTATCAAAAATTTACTTATATAAATAAAA